AAGAGAGAGAGAGAGAGAGAGAGAGAGAGAGAGAGAGAGAGAGAGAAAGAGACAGAAATGTTGGTGTGTTGAGGAAATGAGAATGGAGAATGAGCCACAGACATGGAGTTAGGCAGATTAACGAAGAGACAGGCAGAGAGATATAAAAAGATACACAGACATACAGCCAGAAACAGGCATAAAGAGAAGCGAGAGAGGGGGTGAAAGCGGGAAGGGGAAATATATTACATTAGATAGATAGATAGATAGATAGATAGATAGATAGATAGATAGATAGATAGATAGATAGATAGATAGATAGAGAGAGATATATTGATAGATAGATAGATAGATGGATGGATAGATAGATAGATATATAGATAGATAGATAGACAGAAGAAAGACTTGGAAAGATGAGAGAAGAAATTCCCAGACGAACAGACGGACACTCACTCCCCAACTTATTAACGAGGTCAAGACACATATCAAAAGTTGGGCACGGGCGGTAACCATATCTCACCTCAGAAGAGACGAGATCGATCGACTACATCACTTTGACGTCACTCTGAGGAACGAATAAACCTCCTCCACACTTTTCCGAGGGAAAAAAAAAGAAAAAAGAAATGGAAAAAGAAAAGGAAAAACACTGACCAGAACGACAAGCATATAACTAAACGAATGAATGGTGGGTGCAACTACTGGTTTATAGAGGGCGTCAGGTTTGTCCGTGGTCTGACAACTTCATTACGCAATATCAGACCAGTGTAGGTTTGTCCGGGGTTGTGGGCGAGTACGGATACAGAATATCGGTCTTGGAATATTTTTATGCAGGATTTCAGTGTACGATTTAGTATGCACTCTGTATGAACACATTTTCAGGTCGCCTGCTTTGTTATTTGGTTGAAATAAACTGAAAGATTACACAAAAAGCAGCTTCCTTGTTATTTTTTTTTATATTGAAGCAAGTTTAATAATATTATAGGTTTAAAAACTTGTAGATTAAGCATTTGTGTTTTGTTGAGTAAACGTCTAAACTGTCCAACATAACATTTTGAAGAGAAGGAAAAAAACGAAAGATTATGTGCGATACAATGATAATATTATAGTCATTTCTTCACTAACGATTTATTCTGTTCAAATCATGTCGAAACTGTTCATTCTACTGATATCGCACACAAATGTTTGTATCACGTTTTGTTCCAAAAAGAGAAAAGTAAACTACAAATCAGATAGATATTATGTAGAAAGACATACAGACTTACAGGCAGACAGACAAACAGACAGACAGACACACAGACAGACAGACAGAAAGACAGACAGACAGACAGACAGACAGACAGACAGACAGACAGA